CAGGTATTAGTCGTAAGGTCACCATGAGGCAGGTCAGAGGGTAGGCCATGAGGCAGAGAACTCTGACCAAACGATGGTCAATAGGTACCTGGTCTGTGCACCATTGTATTAGTATATATAGTAGGGAGTCTGAGGCAGGGAACCTCAGACTTGATCTTCTCGTCGATCCCCCATCTCCTCTGTAGGTAGCTAGCAGCCCTACCTTCTACTGCCCCTTCTAGTCTAGGGAATACACCTCTTCACATCTCTTGCTGTGTCACCTCTGGTTGCTTCGCTTCTCGCACCAACCTCTGCATCAGTAAGCTTTGCCCTTGTTTGTTTTGGTGGCACAGCTCGTTGGCTGTGACACCTCCTCGATGAGAATATGATGTCATGCACTTTAGGCACCGATGTTTGAATTCGCTCGATGTACATTCTATCTCTTAATCCACCACGTCTACCATCTCTATCCCCTCGTTCGCAAGCTGTCTCCCTCTATGTCGCTTCCGCAGGTACGTTTCCCTCGATACAGTCTCTCGACAAGCGTAGCAGACAACAGCGACAAAAACATGTGCGCCTCGCAAGACCTCGCAATGGCCTCCCCAGCTGATCTGCAAGGTGCCAAGCATGCACTACTCCCTCATTCACTCACTGACTTCCTTGAGTGCCTGATTCACATTTCTGTTGCAGGTGGATACATGCATGGAAATGGTACATGGAGACCAGGGGAACGCAGGAAACCTTCGAGGCCCACTGCGAGTTTGTGAGTCATGCCGAGCGCCAGGTGTGTTCGATCACATGTATTGACTTCCTTTACTCACCTTTTCGACAGATGCTCGGACGGGTCCCCTGCGTTGTAGACAGTATGTGTCTAGCACCGCTATTGAGTCCTATTGCCGAATATCACTGATCTGTTCGCATTTTGAATCCTGACAGTGTCGACGACGGGCCTGTTCAAGTGGTTGTTAGGAGGCTTAGACATCACACTCATCTGTTGATCTCCCTTGCGGGTGAGGTTGACGCCGCTGCATGCGCGCCCCATTGGCACCACGGGCTGGTCCTGACATGATCCAACGGCATCTAGTCTTCTCCCCCTGTATTCAATGATACCTGAATGTAGCTGTATTCCACTGTGTAGCTTTACAACGACATACAATAGAATACGATCATGCGAAAATGTTCTGATACAAAGGGTCTCGACAGTAACCACGCCTAACCCAATGAAAACAGCCGCACCCGACCCAGCCCAACAGCGTTTGGTTGGTATCGGACGACCACCCGAGTTCATACAACGACATACAGCCAAAGTCGGGTGTACTGCCAAATTATGGGTTTGGTTGGGTTTTCCGACGTCATACATTACAAATTGACCTTATACAGCTGAGCCCATGTAAGTTCTCACTGAGGCTCATGGCCAACAGCAGCGACTAAGGAGTTGGTCAGCTGTGCCATGGACGGCACATCATGAGAGAATGTTCAAGCTTACTTGACTTGCACGCAACAGTCAGTCTCCCGCGATCGCGCAACGCCAGAAATAGTTGTCCAAGCTCTCGAGTCCAAAGATGCTCCCTGGCAGGCTTCTCCAAAGATACCAGGAAAACCAGCCGCTGTCGACGGAATGTGGAGAGAGCAGCTTCGAGCATACATCGATCCAGTTGGTTTCTTCCAATCGTTCGTCGTCAAAACACTGATTCAGAATATGTCGATGGGTCACAAGGAAGTGCACAGAGACATCCTCCAGGCTTGGGGGGCGGAAATTTGTGAGAAACTCGGTCAGTCTCCCTAAACTATCCGCCCCCTTTAGGGTAAAGTTTGAAAGTCGAAATAATGAACCCGGGGTTTATTAACAGGTTATTAACATGTTAATTAACGGTTCAAAAGTCCAGGGGTCTATCAGCCCGGTTATATATTGTTCAAAAGTCCAGATGGAGGCAATACATAGGTGTTTGAGCTGGAACCACACACTGCCAAAAATCTCCGTGAAGCACTAGTCTAAGACTTTGCTAATAAGCAAAATATACTAACATCATATGCAACTAGATATGGACGTTAACCTTGATCCGAGGTCCAGCGCCGAGAAGACAAGCAAGAAGCTGATGACGAGCAATTCTTCAGGAATGCCTTGCACATGCTTTTTTGCAACCCGGATAATGGAGACAAGGATTCCGATGATGATAGTGTAGCAGATGGCAAGCCTAGCAAGATACTGGAGGGAGAAGGGACGCATTGGCATGGTGATCATCGATGGGATACGACTGTTAACAAACCACGGCGGTGTTAGAAAATGTTCTTGACAGTTAATAACATTTATTAATAGGGGAGGTCAGAGTGGGCGATTCAGCCTACGATTCAGCCCCGATTCTGGTTCGATTCTGGTCAGAAGCGGCCTGGAGAAACGTCCCAGAATCGGAGTCAGGTTTGACCTACCCCTTCATGCACAGTGATTCTGCGCGCGATTCTGACTACGATTCCGCAGGTGTTAAGGCATTTGATGGGCGCAGCAAGTTTCAGGCTGTTCGATTATGTAATATTCTAGTTCCAAACACATGAGCGCCTTACCTACCTTCCTAACCATCTTCCCGATGCCTCGCCATACTGTCCATCGTGCTCTCGCAGAGAAATCTCTCAGGGCTTACATTCGTCTAGCTCGTTACAAAGCGCAGCTTCGCCAAAATGCTGCTGCACGCCGTCGTGCTACACTACTTCCAACCGGTCGCCTCCGTCGTCACTCCAGTGTGACCCTGTCTAGCTTGTCATCGCTATCTTCTCTCTCCTTGCCACCCTCAGCTTCAGATTCCTCCGGCAACTCTCTGGGCTCGCAGTCCTCTGACGCTTGGTCTCAAATCCTCGGAGATGATTGGCGATCCTACCATACTGATTGCACGCGTTCTATCACAAGCCCATCCTCGGCAGGCATGGCATCACTCAATCAGCGGACATCTGAGGGATCCGGTGCTTCAAGCATGGACACCGATGAGTTGGAGGCTTGGGCAGAGGAAAGGTTGGGATTGGATTCAGACTCAGGGTCATCGAGCGGACATGAGGCAGATGGGGAGGCATCGGATGGGGAAGTGTCGGAGGACGAGCTAGAGGACTATGTTGAGGGGGAGCCGAGGAAGGGATCGGGTCAACATG